ATCTCAAGAAGTTGATCTCTTTATGTTCTATCCGAGCGACGAGAGTCGCACGATCACGTCGCATTCATAATAGCGCTGTAAAATAAATTTGGGACGTCATAAAGAGAGCCATTCGTATAATACCTGCGGAATTGAAGATGTAGAGAGCGTGAATGTGCTTTCATTATTCTACAGAAGACCAACAAATCATGACAAACGATTTGATGTCAAAATATCAATAATATTCTGAATAAGAAGCAGGAATTTGGATTAAAAATAATGCAAGAAAATATGTCTCATTATAATGATACTCTCTAAATTCTTTGGAATAAATCTTACTCCAAAGAGAGAAAATTGTGTTACTCTTGAAAAAGAGTGGCTCAATTTTTAGTCTTTAAGAATGAAATTTCACTTTTCAGAATGAGATTCTAAAAGTTTTAAGTGTGTGTTTAATATAAATTTGTATCTTTCCATTTTTTCATTTTTAAAAATTTATTGTAATTAATAAATTCAATGTTTATAATTCAAACGATCGTTTCTTTAGCATAATAACAATATAATTATCAGTGACAAAATCTGTCTGAAAGAGAGTGTCAGTTTCCTACAATAGATTGTAGCATGATTTCTCGATATTTCGCTGCAGTAATTATTATAACAAACGCAACATCATTTCTGCAGGGTAACGAGTAACTTTTAGAATCAAAGTTGAAGCGTTCCAATCTGCGATGCTCTCCAGATTCGTCATCTACCTTCCGTCCATCTCACCCGCCGAGTTGTCCGTTCCACAAGATACCAAGAAAATTGTCTTTCCCTGGAAGTCCCTCTATTAAATTCTCGTGGTTCGACTGTGGGCATCTCTCGGCGGATAAATGAGGTCGAGCACGTTGCCGTTCCGACTTCCTGTCGGCGATTCTCGAGATTCTTCTTTCTCGGCTCTTTTCTCGTTTTACGACACTGGGGATTTTGACCAATCGCTATTGGCCTGAATGGCAGTAAGTGCTGAAAGTTATGAAGCAATCATAGTGTTTATTCGTTATTCTGTTCTCGATCTGTTACGGTCATTTATTGTAAGATTTGTTCAGATTCCAATTGAACATTGATTGACGCAATGTTATACCGGATTCAATAAAATAATTTTCAAGTATACTGTTAAATTTATAATATTAAATTATATCCAATTTGAATTATTTTCAATTATTTCTACAGGTGTCACTGTTCCTATTGAATATATCGATAATTTAATTAAAACAACAAATTTAAATTTAACTTTAACTTTAAAAAAATGTATTAAATTTAACTCAAATTTAGTTTATTATTAATTTAAATTGTTATTAAGCGTTTATGTTAATGGACATTGTTTATTTTGAAGCTAATTACAGAAATGAATTGATTTACATTTTGCCACATGTGGAAGTTAAAAATAAAATAAATGTTATTTAACTCAAGAAATTGAGTTATCATTGTTCCCTCGATATTTATATTTT